TCCATCCGCCCTAACCCCTAACCCTCCTACTATAACGGGAGGATATTACAGTGATGCGACAATGAACGCAATGATCGCTATCTGCTGCGTCCTGCATGGGGGAGGGTGTCGAGCCACCCTTGTGGATCCCGTGAACGCACGTCTATGCCTGTGAAGCTCTCCGTACACACGAATGTTGCGGAGATGTATGTATACACGCGACTATGCGCACCGGCTAAACTACCCCCGACTGGTGCCTAAACCTGGTTCCTCCCCTTTTATTATGGGCCACGACGGTTATTGGATTGTACCGTGCTATTTGTTGGCTGCCACGCTAATGGATCCATAATCACCGCGACGAATTAACGCGCTACAACGACGCTAACGGGTCGCTACTTTAAATACAGAAACGCCAACTGCATGTCACTTATACCACGTGGACACTTAAACAATCATCATGAAACAAATTTTTCTTCCAAGTGTCAGAATCAATCTGATGCTTGGAAATTTTGATTTCTATGCATCGCTCTTTAAATGAAAATATTAAACAATGTAACGATATATTTTATTCTCTATCTTATTGTCATATATCAAAGATACTGCATAAGAATAAAGAAAATAAGTTTTACATATTTGCGCGTTAGTCTTCTTTTACTGTTATTTTTTAAGATCTAATAATACATACTAGTAATATATATGTATTAAAGTGTCTACTAAAAAATCATATTATATCATTGATAAATAAATTATTGATAAATAAATAAATTATTATTATATAATTTTATTAACTAAGGCCTGTTTCAAAGGAAATAGTTTAAATTTTAATTAAAAGATAATATAGAATAAATCATGAAATAATTATTAGCATAGTAATTAGATCGAAAAATTCTTGGATTAATAATGTAAGATTTAATTTTCGCATGACGATTACTAAATATTATAACTATAATAGTATAAATTTCTGATATCTATATTATAATATACATATAAGGAGAAATTGCTTATATCGTACCTCTTAACAGTTAAAAATTGTAACAAAAATACTGAAGAGCTCAGAATATTTCTGTATTTATATCAAAATATGATTCATTGATAATAAAACAAAACAACATTTTTACGGAAATAAACAATTAAACTATTATTTAAATTAAGATTTTATAAAAGCAGCTTTTGATACAATTTAGAGATCGGATCATTAAATTGTATCATGCGTTCCTAAATCATACGTCTAATAAACAATCATTAGTTTTAGAAGACAAGAAGAAAATTTTTTAAAAATTCAACAAATAATTTCTTTTGTATAATACTTATTTGTCTATTTACATAGATTTCCAATTTAATGACTTCTATTCCCCTAGATTTTATTTTTTCTTACTTATAATATTTATTTCTTAATGCTCATTTACACACGTAATTCTACTTTTGATACTGTAAGCATTATATCTTATAAGAAATTTGTACTGGTTTTATCCATTGTGTCGATCCTAATTTAACTTATTGCATTTTATTGTGCAGTTATGGAATGCAGTAGATAAATCTCCATAATAATAATTTATTATCCTTTTTTTTTTAGTAATTGTCCTTCTTGATATTATCTTTGCTTTAGCATTTAAATAGCTAACTAACACATTCTAAACTTAATAATCTGAGAGACTTTCCATGCTGCACTTTATTACTTCTTGATACGATTACCTAATGGTGTATCAAGAATTTTAATTACTGTTATTTTTTAATTAAAATTTAAACTATTTCCTTTGAAACAGGCCTTAGTTAATAAAATTATATAATAATAATTTATTTATTTATCAATAATTTATTTATCAATGATATAATATGATTTTTTAGTAGACACTTTAATACATATATATTACTAGTATGTATTATTAGATCTTAAAAAATAACAGTAATTAAAATTTAATTAGAAATTTAATTAGAAAATTAATTAAGACTATTAAAGATGGCTCGAATTGAGCCGAATCGTTCGGTTATTATATTTGTAAGATTTGAAATATATATTAATAATATAATCACATCAATTACCACGTATTAAGGCTCTTAATTGCCCGTTGTTTCTATTTAATATTTGTTTAAATAATTTCTATAAATAATTTTTAATAAATTATTTAAAAAAAAACTCAACATAAACGTAGGTATTATACTTCTTATCAAATATCAAAATATAATAATTACAAAAGTATCATTCAATTACTCAATTATGTTATTTTATGTAAATATAATGTAAGGACTATAGTGACAAGTATTATTCAACTACTCAATTTTAATATGTTATTTTTAGAATTGAGAAACATTATTTTTTTCGTTATTTTTTATAATAAATAATTTTTATAATTTGATACTAACGTTGCAATTTTTCATAACAAAATATTAAGGTTATGCTAAGATTCGAAGGGCTTAAGTAGAATTGTGCTTTTATTTCGTCCATCCCCTCAATTACTCACATTGTATTAATAACATCTTGGGTAAATTGTATGAACTTAGATCACAGACACTGAACAAAATCAATTTTAAATGTCATTCATAAATGGACCGTTCGAAAACGAAAATGATCGTAAATACTTAAGTCATGTTATCAGCGTCATGTCTGTGTCGTCACCTTTAAAAAATAATGTTTTGTTTAGAAAATACAATGAAGATTCGATTTAGCCAACTCCGCCCTATATACAATACACACACACACACACACACACACACACACACACACACACACACACACACACACAAAAAACACACACACACAAAACACACACACACACACACACACACACACACACATATACAGGGTGTCCGGAAAATCGCTCGCAATATTTCGAGATCCAATTCAGGATCCAAAATGAAGGAAAAAAAGCTATATAAAAAAAGCTATAGGTTCGGAAATAAGTCGTTTCTGAGTTATAATCACTTTTATGTTAAAAAAATTGTAATTTATTGTTCATATCACAATCATAATTTATTTCATAGTGTTTTAACATAAATAACTACATTTCGGACTATTTGGGCATTATCCAGGATACATCACGTGGAAGCATAGTCCGCTTGGCATCCCTCTAGTAAAGTAAAAAAAATTAAAAATAAAAAAAATAAAAAAAGAGAAATGTTAAATTATGTGTTTGAGATTTTGTATCCATTGGTACTTATGAAGGAAATACCGTGAAAATCTCAAAAGTATTATCATAATAGATCCTGGGCATTTTTCTATTCTTGTTATTTATTAATATTAAGGATAGAATAATTGTCTACATTATACTATATCCTTGTTAGAAAATATAAGACCAATTTTTCAACAAAAAGGATTAAAGTATACGATATAAAATTTGTAGTTATCAGTATTATATTTTTTTGTACAGATATATGTGTTTTATGAAACTTTATAAAAGAAAAGATGTGAAAATATATTTAAGATACGCATGGAATGCAAGAGATCCGAGTTCGATTCCCGGCCGAGGCAATATTTTTCGCAATAAGTTTATTACAGTTTTTTAAGATTAATTTGGGAAATTTGGGAGGATTATTAATATTTCAGATTGATTGCGTTGAAAATCCGACAACCATATCGGCACGAAATTATCATTTGTGAAATTAATTCATTTATATATATGAATATATATAATAGTTCAACATCTTAACATTTAGATCATAGTGGCACTTCGTATTTAAAGTAATTTAACATAAAAATACATTACTGATCTTGTTTCCAATCTTAATATTCAATTAAGATATCTTAATATTTAATTAGATATCTTTTCAAATATTCATATATTTTATTATTATTATTTGTTCTAAAACTAGGCATTATGTAATATACCTTGTAAATATTTTATTTCGATTTGATGATGTTAAATACATTTTTGGAACGTTCCGTAATAAATGAAATATTTTTTCCACATTCGTAAATTTCGCATTTTATATCATTTGTAGTTATTTAACTGAGCACTTTTCATATTCGATACATGGAATTAAGAAGACAATAGTGAGAGACGGTTTTTAAGTCCGCGCGTGTTCGACGGCCGATTCCCCAAGGATTAAGGGCTAAGCCCTAATCCGTTAATTTCATTTCATCTTTCCGTATCGAGCCTTTATCTCTATTACCAGTATTACCCTTCGGACGTATTTGGCTAAGTTTCCGAGTTATCTCCTCCCCGCGTTTCGGCTTTTAAACTTATTCTTCCCAGACGCGTACAGTGCGATCATCAACCAAGTCTGCTCTCCAGACTACGATCGTAAACGCCCTCTGATCTTTACTGCCATGGGTGGATATTCCGATATATCTATATATATATATTTGCAACGCCCGCAAACGGCTTTACGGACCTGTCGAGCAAATGAAATGAAATTCATGCAAATCGCGGAACCGCGCCACGCCGGCTTCCCTTTGCGCTGTCGAGGCGGCATCGCATCGGTTTTGTATCGGGGCGGCGATGCGTCCAACCTACATCACGAGGGTGAAGCATACTTCCTCCTCGGTATCCCCGGCTCGTTGCTCGTTTGGACAAAATTCACAAATCGCTTTAGCTATCTTTCAAGGAGCTTTAGTTAAGTCGAACAATCATAACGTTGAAAAGCAAGTTGTATACGTGCACGAATGAGGAAAATAACAAGAAGGTAGAAAATAATGATCACAAAATTTGTTTTTTTTTGCGCGAACTATTAATTATTTTATTCAGGAAGAAGAAGTTGTATTCTTATATAAATTTTTTAATAGTATTAATAGTATTTCTTAACTTTTAATTTCATTTTTTTATTTTTAATTCAATAGTGTAAAAGACATTAGATTACATATATTTAATTCATATATTTAATTCATATATTTTGTATGAAATATCTATAAATGACAAAAAAGATTCTGAATTATAAATAACATACTAAATATTATTTGTAAAGAGAGAGAGAGAGAGAGAGAGAGAGAGAGAGAGAGAGAGATAAAATAATCAGATAGATGATATGTACGTATTTTAATCGTACTAAGAGATAACATTTTATAATTATATTATTTCTATTTTTAGGTTACGCCAGGAACGGACCTAATTATTATGGAAAATTAATTGGAACCCTACAAGAATACGCACACGGCATCAAAGGTAAAGTGTATGCCGTTGATGATGCAACGATATTTATAAAAGGATTTTGCTACGACGGCACCGGCCCAGATGCTTACTTCTGGGTTGGCAACACCAGCCAACCTAATCCTGAAGGTTACATTGTACCTTATCCTGAGACTGATAAGGGCAGGTAACTGATATTTTATTTTTTACATTCATGATATTGTAATATTATATTACATTGTAATATTATATTGTGAGGGAAAACGTATATTTCTTTTTTAGTTATATAACACTTTATAGTAATATAGAAGAGTTATTTATAGAGAAGGAAGTAGCACGCGTAATTAATATAAATTAATTAGGCAATTTTTAATCTTGATATTATTTCGATATTTATATATAATTATATATGAGAAAAACGTGTATTTTTTTTAAAGAATTGATTGATTATATAGAGATTTACAACAATATAAGTAAAATACAGTCAGTAAGTTTGTAGAAGAAAATATCATAATTAATTGTAAGCAATAAAATTGCTCGTGCCATATAATGATAAGCGAGCAATTTGCGATAAGTGAGATTGATGATCTGACTGTCGCGGTTAATATGGAAAGGTGAGGCTATCAGTGTATACCGCGTTTTGTATATACCAAAACGAAACTCGTTGCACACGATTTTTCGAACGTGTACTAAAGTGGGTAGAAAGCAACCGAGTAGAAACGTAATAAAGTGCTCGCGCAGATGAAATCCGAACGAGATTGGGGTATAATTCCCGTTTTATTAACTGCACTCTCTCGCGTACAACTCGCTCGTTCGGCCTTCCTTCTGTTTTTCACCCCCCACCTCTCACCTTTCCGTTTCCCCCGCCTCCCCTTTTCATATACGGCCACGCGCACAACGGGCTCTTTGAATTTCATTTCATCCCTTGGTTACGGACTGCCGCGCGTTCGCTCCGCATCACTCTCATCACCTCTCTTATACCCGCGCTCTTTTCGGCCTTCTACAGCCCTGACCGCATGCACAACTCGCCTCCGTCCATTTCCCCTCGGAAAGCCTTGCTCGTTTGATCGTTGCACGACACACAAAGTCGGCGATACCAAGAAGTATCTAAAATCAATCGAATCTATCATTATAACAAATGAGATAAGTATATATAACTTCCGCAAATTTAAATGATTTATGGAATACGTTAAAAATATGAGAACAACACAAAACAGTTCAAGTTTATCTAATTACAGTGTGATGTAAATATGTAAATGTCAGAAATGGCTGAATTTCAGAAAAGATAGAAGCATCGCAATTTTTATTGTTGCCCGAGCGGTTCCGAGTTCCGATTCACGATTTTTGAAATAATTGCTTCAATTATATTCTGTGTCAGTTACGTTTAAACCTTTTTATGTTACTACTTTTAGGTATATTACTCTCATTTCTTTCTTTCCTCTTCAACAGCGATCCACGAGTATTGGAGGCATACAACTACACAGACATTATCCTGAGGCTACCCGGAGGAAAGCGCATACGAGACATTAAATGGCTGAGCGTTTGGTGCAGAAGATTTACAGTGAGTAAATTGTACCGATCGATCTTCATATTTTCCGTATGCTAATTGCATACAATATTGTTTTATTGAAACAAAATCCGAGATTTAAATTCTTCCCATTTTCACGAATTGCTATGTATCTCGAATCGAAATATTATGGATAACTGAACATCTTGCCGAATGCTTTAAATATTTTGTAATGTGATTAATGGCCGCATTCAGCAGAATGTTTATTTTGCAACTGTTGTAAATTTTCTTCGTTGAAATAGACTATTCCTTTAGATCTAAAAATAATCTAATGAACGTGAAAAAAATTTCCAACAGTTGCAAAATAGACGTTCTGTTGAATGCGACCAATGATTAAGTTCAAAACGGTTGACAACAACTGAATAAACATTCAGTTGTCAATTGTTATCTGTGATTGGAGTAAATATCTTTAGATCTATGATAAATTTGAAAAAATATAGGAATACATCAATAGAACAAGGAGCATTAACTCAACTATCGTATTTTTTGCACTGTTAAATTCATAATGTCAAATTATATAACTTAATTTGAATTATTTTTAATTATTTCTAAAGGTCGCTCCTACTCAATATTTCGATAATTTTATTAAACAATGGAATTGAACAATTTAACTAAAGAAAATATATTAAATTGATTTGATTAAAAAAGAAGTTAATTTATTACTTACTAACAATAAATGCATACATTAATATGGATATTATTTACTTTGAAATTAAGCATAGAAATAGATTGATTTACATTTCGATACATATAGAAATAAAAAATAACAAAATGTATTATACTCCAGGAATTACCATTACTTCTTTGATATCAAAACAATGAATGTTGCCAATAATTCGTAAAATGACATGAGGTGCTGTGTCGTCATTTCTGATAATATAAATAATTAAATACCCATTTTTCGATATTTGCGATAGATTTCAAGTTGTTTTTCAAAGAATATGTGCGTGCGAGATGCAAAACGCTCCCTATTTGACTCTTCGGTATATCGCGCGAAGCGCGGCACATTTTATTCCAAACGCCACGATGCGCGGAAAATAGAGATAACTTGATTTTTGAGGAGGTTCAGAGAAGCTCTATCGGACGTCGTATTCGAGGTCAATGGTGCGTATGAGATGGATACGAAAACCGCGTCTAGGGGCCCCGTACGCGTGCACGTGCGTGTGAGTGGATTCCAAAAGTCCTTCCCTTTTTTCTCGGCTTTCTCCGGCTTCTCTATTCGGGTGCACGCCTGTCTAAACGCGCGTGCGATTCCGGCGTCTCTTTATCTTTCTGATATCTTCTTTGCGCGTGTGATTGTAAGTAAACATGTAGTGTTGGCGATATCACGCTTAGAAAAAAATATTGAAATTTCTTTTTGATAGCTTGAAATAAAATTTATGAATTTAATAATCAACTTGAAACAATTTCATAGACGATTTATTTTTTTCATAACCTACAAAACCTTACAATAACTTACGAAAAAGACAGTTTTTGCTGTAATATCTAAAAATTTATCTAGATACAGATCTAAAAATAATTTCATTAACCATCAAAATAATTACGTAGGATGATTAAATTATGTAGAATTAATTATGTAGGATGATCAAAATTTTTTGCAGCATTGCTCATCATGTTTGAAATTTCTACAGAATTATTTTAACAATTCAACAAAATTATTTTAAGATTTGTATCTGTAATTAAATTTTTAGATATGTTCAAAATTCTTCTTTCCGTATATAGATAATCTTCGGTAAGATATTTTCAATTAATTCTATTCAAAGATAATGATGTTCTATACATTTTCTTCCCTTCTCCTGCCTTCTCATATTTTAAAATTCAAGAAAATTTAGTGCTCCTTTCTTTTTTTTGTATTTTGTACGATATATGCTTATTCTCTTCTTAATCCAATGCTTAGCTTTTTTTCATTTCCTCTCTCTTAAGAAGTCACAAATTAGAAGATATATTCTCTTAAATAGATTTCGCTTTTCACTTAAAAATCGGTGTTTGAAAATCTCAGTGCCCGCGCGAGTCTATGTTTCACCGGGGCTACCCTTTAGTTTTTCCTTTTCCCCCTTTTATCGGACTTACACGTATGAATATAACGACACACAAACGCGATATCACTGCCTCTAGGAAGGGAAAAAGGTTTGAGGCGAGCATATCGACGGTGAAGAGTGGAGCTTTTGCTCTTATATTAGAGGAGGGCTTTAATATCGAAGTCTGAGGGGTGCTCCCGCACCGTGACAACCCTCCATCAGACACGCTCTGTCACCGCAAAACGCGCTGTCCGCCGCCTACGGACCATTCTACCGGGTGTCCCATTACGATCGCTGCGAGTCTTCGTAACTAGAGAGTTTGGTATAAATCGCTCCTGTTTGCGGCCCCCCCCCCCCACCGCATCATTCGACAAACGTCCAATCCGAAGGGAGGGGGAGATCCCATTCGGGGGAAAGATTTTATGGCGTGGCGGTAGGGGGTATAGGTTTTCTGTACCTATATAATATAGCATCCTAAACAATATCAAAGAGGTACTATTATTAAGTAGCAGAAATGTGTGATGAGCGTTCTTGTTACAAGAAAGTAAACAATTGCCTGTCAATGATAGTTGCTATCGGACTGATAGCGCCTGTCACTACGGTTGAAAAACTTGTCCTGGGTCTCTACGGTATTTATCGAACGTCCTGACCCTGAATGGCGGTATTATCTAAAAAAAACTTGAAATGTTTCTGATCAAACAGGATATTCCTTGATTACGGTCACAAAAGGAAATCTTATAATGCACATTATTGAAACATTTCTAAGAGTTCCGACTTTTAGGAACTTTAGAAGCGCACACTTCTAAAGTTCCTTTTCTGTGATTTATAGAAGAAATGGTAGATCTTCCAACACAGGACGGCTGATACTATAATATACAACGTGTAAGAGAGTGGTGTAAGTTTTGCTCGGATATCTAGTAGACAGGAGCTGTCTGTCAGTCAGCACTCCCTCGCGTTATCCCCGGAAAACGGATGTATTGTCAGGGTAAGCTCTCTTCTCTCGCTCCTTCTTTCGTTCATCCTTCTCTCCCTGCTCTCGGGATTTCCTTCCGCTTCCTCTTAAAGACTCGCTCCTTCACGAACGTATCCTTCGTGTTCTTCCTTCAAATCCGGGCTTCCTTTCAAAAGAACATAGAAATATCCTTTGGCTATATCAAACCGCTCAATGGATTTAGCCATTGAATCAGGTAGGATTTCGTAATTTTTTTTCTTTTTCTGTCTTCTGACCGCCGTCCAAGACAGTCATGCAAGTGTCCTGTGTCTATATCGCACGCGGGAGTGAAAATAGTGGATGGAAACAATTTCTCGTCGTCCCGTTGCAATCTTATCTCCAGCAACGACGTTCGCCTTTCGCGAAGTAACTCGAACTGTTAAAGCCGGCTTGCTATCGTCTCGTTTTTCTCGTCTCTTTCTTCTTGTGCTGCGGTATTTTATTTATTTTTTTCTCCTGATCGACTCTTACTCACGATTAATCGCCTTCTTACGTTTCGCATCATAAACGCGTGAGCAGAATGCCATCGATCGAGTTCAGAGTGAAGGAGCGCCACTTCTTTCGCCTATAAATGCCACTTATTGGAAAAATGTTGAACACCCTATGTATAATAATTTAAGATTCCATCGCGTTGCACGGCGAGAATGTAAATTAAATGACGTAGGATATGTCATCTTTAATTTCCGGCTACTAATTTTTTATATTTTTCACGTAACAATGAGCGATAATACTTAGAAAATTATATAAAGTTTGACTGCAAAATTCAAGATACATTTTAACATCATTCTTATTAAAACTGTCTTTTGAAAGTAAATCCGCATATTCCTGAATATGTATAGTAATATAATATAACGCATTATGCACCTTCATTATCGAAACCATTAGTTTTATAATATAATTATTTCTCACACACACACACACACACACACACACACAAAATTATATTATATATTATTACAAGAAATTTTTGAGTTAATAAAATAAAGATTAAAACAGTATAAATTATAGAATAAATGTATAATAAAATAAATGAGTAATAAATTTTTTCATTACATGTAGATAATCAATGAAAAAAGTACAAAAGTACGGATTCTCTAATCTAAAACAATAGTAGGAATTAAACCGGACGAATGAGAGTACAACTGTTGGTACGCAAATGAAGATCTTTTTATTTTTTTCCACTTCTTTATTCCAAAGAAATTGAACTTGACTTTTGACTCACTTTGGAGTCCTCCTCAGCAAATACATAATAGATATTAGTCACTTCTTTGTGTGAAAGGAATGAATCAAACAACAAATTGACAGACTTGATGTAGTAAATCCCAACAAACAAAGCAGCCGTCCTGAAACTTTGCATTAATTACCTTGCCAATTACACTTTATCTGAAAGTTTTGGAATAAAGAAGTGGAAAAAGGAGAAAAAAATCTTCATTTGCGTATCATCAATTACATTGTGCTCTTTTTCGCTCGATTTAATCCCTACTATGATTGTAGATAATCTTTATAATTTTAATATACGTATCGCTCATTTGCTACAACAATATAATTAAAAAATTATAATTCTTTAGCTGCTCTTGAAAAAAGAACGGAACATAAAAGAAAAAGAAAAAAGACAAGAGATTAAAAGTACATATATTTATTCTTCTACAATCAGTTGTTACATGAAATTTGCATTTCAAAATTAATATTATCAAATTTTAATGATTTAAAGACATTTATTTTCTAGAAAACTTCTAGAAAACTTCTAGAAAACGTTTTTGAGTTGTATCGTTATTATAGCAAATGAGCGATATATATATGTGAACAAATATATATTTTTATAAAATGATATCAGTAAATATTTAAAAAATCTGCATCTTAAAATTTAATGCAATCTACAATCTCTATGACACTGGCCGACATTGGCCTCCCCCTCCTTCCTGGGGGTCTCACACACACACACACACACACACACACACACACACACATATACACACACACACATT